TGGTCAAGCAATAACTGAGGTTGGGGTCCAGGACACTGCCTCAGGCAGAAAAGAACACCAGACTTCATCAGACCTCTACAGACACACCCAGAACATGCCTGGTTTTTTTTTTTATTTCCCCACTGCACCATGCACAGTGCCTCCCCAAGGCTGAAGATTGTAAGTCCCATTCAGAGAGCAGGCATTTGTCAGTAGCCTACACTTTCCTTGTCCTTCTTATTGAAGGGATTGTAGGGTTTTACAGTTGTGACCATTCGAGACAGCGGTGCCTGGTGACAGAAGAGGTCAACTGCCATTTCTTTCCGTAAGATGCTGTGACAGGGTGGCAGGGGGAAAAAAAAGAAAGAAAATGACCCATACGATAAACATAAAAACACATAACCTTATCTATTTTCCAGTGAGACACATGTTCAGGGTGGAGAATGAGGGTCAGGAGAGCACACGGAGACTGGGAATGATTCATCCTTGTGTGCATCGTTTCGTTTATTTCCTTTATTTGCCTTCGGTTTCATTCATTGCATTATGTGCGTAACATTGCAATCAGTTTCATCGACCGAAAGTCTACTCTGTGCCTAGAATTACAGTAGGCACTAAGAATATAGAAAATGTAGTCAAAAGGAAGTAATCAAAAGTTACAACACGAAGCTTCTGTGCGGGTGAGGCTGGGACAAAAGGAACAGAGAGGAAGAGTCACCTCTCTGGGCTGGGGAAGGAAGTCCTCCCCACCTTCCCCTCCCACAGTCTATGTCAGGGAGGAGTTAAGTTGGTTGTGATGAAAGCAGGTTGGTAGATGAAGAAGGGGTACAGGGAGAGCGGCGTGGGAGGGCACAGGGCTCGTGGGGAGAGGCTCAGGGCGGGGGTGGGACTGGCCACATGCAGGGCTGGGACTCGGTTTCCCCCTGCCAGCGGGGTTAAGCTGACTGCTTTCACAGGACATGCTCAACCTCACATGTGTCTTCGTTGGCTCATTTACCCAGCAGGGAAAAATGCTCTCTGTGTTGCAAGAATTGAAAGAAGATAACTAAATACGTAGAACGCTACACAAACAACGCTTTCCCAATCACTGTTCATGCCCAGAGGTGGTCTTCCCAGGGTGGACACAGGCCACGCCAACTCTCTTGAACGACTGCATACAGCCAGGGTCACTTCTGCTGCCGCTTGAATCACACACACACACACACACACACACACACACACACACAGAATGCGGTGTTCATACGTGGCAAAAGTTACGGAGCGCACAGCAACTCAACCCAAAGTGGCTTTTTAAAACACGCTATGATTATCGTGAAGTCATGGTTTTTTATTGTGTCATGGAAAATGGCTGCTGGGGTGCAAACTCAAGCTTCTGTGAAGGTGGCCTTGCGGCATGAGGGAACGCACAGGGGACGCTGCCCTGTGACAGAAGCGGCAGGCAGGAGAAGCCCCTGTGTGCATTCTCATGCTCTCCGAATAGGAGATTCACAACCCCCATCTCATCCACCCCTGCGCTCTCCCTCACTTCAGTCTCGTCCACTCCTCTCCCTCCTTGCTGTTCTGCGTCTTGTCTCAATATCACTCTAAAATGCAACTGGGGGCCTGTACACCTGGCTCAAAACCTGTTACCGGGACCACATGGACGTCAGCCCCTTGGCATTGGCATTCAAGGCCTAGCTCACTTAATCCCAACCCGGCACAATGGTCTCCCACCGGGAACTCTGCACCACGAGGGGTGCACGGCCCCTCCTCTCCTGGTGGTCTTAAGCAGCCTGCTGTCTGGGGGCAGGTGCATTTTGGTTGACTGGCGATGTCTGCATGCAGACTGCAGGAGCATGAGGGAGAGTGGGTGGGGAGGGTGCGGGAGGCAGACTGGAAAGGGAGACTGGGTGTTCCCCTCTGAAAGAAGCTTAGAAGGGAGAGGAAGGAGGGCAGAGAAATGCCTGCTCAGAGAGGACATCTTTGATTTCTACAGCACAGAGGTGGCTGGGGCGGGGTGGGGGTGGGGGGAGGGGGTGAGGGGGTGGAAGGAGGAGCTGGGGTGGGGAGTGGTGGCTTCGTTTCTCCCCAAGCAAGAGTGGGGGGGGGCAGGGCTAGAGAGGGCCAAGCACTCCGAGGGAAGGATGAAGCTTTTGGAAGAAAGAACTCGTCTTGGGGGGGGAAGGAGATGGAGGCCCTGGTGGGAGAAAAGGCTCTGATGCGGGAGTGGGGGAGAGGCCAGGGGACCGGCTCGCCTGGGGGTGGGCTGCAGGTGCCCATGGGGCAGCGGCAGAGGTGGGCTCCAGGCCGGCAGGGAGGGTGCATGCCGGAGCCCGGGTCCAGGAGTGCCCGGCACGTGCCCGTGTGCACGCGGCCTCTCAGAAACAGCAGAAAAGACGCAGAGGGTCAGGCAGACGCTGTCAGGAGGAAGTCAGCTCACTCAGTTCTCAAGATACTCATCAGAGACCCGATCCGGACTCGCACTCCCACAAGAAAGTTCTAGCAAAGTTACAGGACAGATGGTGTCACAAAATTGAGAGGACATATTTCATGACGGAGAATCTCCAAGGTCCGGTTTTCTCTGATCACGGTGCCTCCTCATGTTACAGAATGCTTTCTATCTTCATTTATTTATTTTTATTTTTTCAATGCTTATTTATTTATTTTGAGAGGGGGGGGGAGGGGGGGGAGAGAGAGAGAGAGACAGAGAGAGAGAGAATCCCAAGCAGGCTCTACACTGTCAGTGCAGAGCCCGACATGGGGCTTGAGCAGAGATCAAGAGTCAGATGCTTAACCCACTGAGCCACCCGGCACCCCAGAGAGTGCTTTGTAAAATCTGAGCACCCCACCGTGCTTCCTCACTGCCAAGCCCCAGTGCCTGCAGGTGCAGCCATTAGGGGTGGGCACAGGGATGGAGATTTGGGCACCTGGCCCAACAGGGGTTGGTCGCTTCCTTGTCACCCTTGGGTGCTGCCACTGTGTCTCCAGAGCCTCTGTGAACCCCAAGAATAAGAACCCCAGAGAAGCTGCCTCGGAGGGTTCTCGGTCCCCACTCTGAGGCAGCAAGATGACAGTGGTGTGTGTGCAGGATATGAGGGGCGAGTGTGGGGGCTTCCCGGGGGGTCAGCAAGGGGCCTAAACCTGGGCTGGAGGGTGTGGCCGAAGACTCAAGTTCTTTTCTCAAGTAGGAATAGCAGTAGTAACATTAGCAACAGCAGTAGTGACATTAGTAACAGCAGGAGCAGCACGGTAACACTAGAAATAGTCATAACAGTAGCAGTAACAGTGGAGGATGGTTTTCCACTTAGAAATACAGGCTTCAGGGCACCTGGGTGGCTCAGTCGGTTAAGCGTCCGACTTCAGCTTGGGTCATGATCTCCTAGTTTGCGAGTTCGAGCCCCGTGTCATGCTCTGTGCTGACAACTCAGAGCCTGGAGCCTGCTTCTGATTCTGTGTCTCCGTCTCTGTCTGCCCCTCCCCTGCTCCTGCTCTGTGTCTCTCTGTCTCTCAATGGTAAATAAACATTTTAAAAAAATAAAAAAAGAAATACAGACTTCTTTGGGACATAGTAGAACACTGGACAGCTAGATCCTGGGGCTGTGGAAACATGCTATACCAACAGGGCGTCAGGGATGCGGCCCAAGACGTTTGGGGAGAGAAGGTGGATCCTGAAGGAAGAAGGCCAGAGATGAGGAAGGTTGGCATTGCCCTGGGAAAACATCATTGGGCCTCTCCTCCGTCATTAACCGCTCAGACACGGTGTATTTTTCCAGCCTTCTGGGAGCTACGTCTTCACGACAGACATTAGGATGCATTTAATTGTGCCATTGCTTCCTTGGGCCCTTCAGTGAAATAAAATTACACTAATTGTCTCAATTTCTGTCAGTCCTGCCTTTGCGACTGGACCTGTGACCTTTGAAAATGTGTCATGAGAGAAAACTGGTTGGATGCAAAACACTAGCCTAGAAAGCCAATGTTCTCCTTCAAAATGCATCTTGTCAGATGGCCCAGACCCTAAGCAATCAGCAAACCCAGAATTTAGATCAGTTGAGGAAGCCCTGTGTCAGCAGGCACGTCCCCCGCTTGGTCCCTGCCTGAGGAATCGGGTCCTGTGCACAGGGTGTGGAATGATCTGGGTGCCTCAGACACAGGGCCACACGAGGCTCTCCTGTGGTCCACGCTTGCGTAGTGAGGGCCTTCATGTGTGGGATCCCTGGAGGAAGCCAGCCTTGCCACACGCAGCCTGGCCCCCCAAATATCTTTGAGACCAAAGGCTCTCGTCCAAAGTAACCCTCCCTCCATGAAGCCTTCCTAGAATTCGCCTAGAACCTTGTGTCTGCCTCCCTTTCCTCACCTGTAAAACGGGAAAACAAGAGCATCTTCCTCACAGGCTTTCTGGGTTGGGGAGGTGGGTCAGTTAAGCACAAAGCACTTGGGTAGCCCGGTGGAGAGGAAGAGCTCACCCACGTCAGGGACACGATTGTGGTGACGCTTGTCATCCTCGGACTCCAGTGGTGTGTTTCTTGCTCACCGCTAGCCTGTGAGCTCCATGCAAACTGGTCTAACTCCTGTGACTTCCTTGGGACTAGCACACAGCCATACCAACTGCCCACCTGGGCCCAGGAGTCCCTTTACCCTTGCTGCCTTTCAGAACAGGTAAGAAACCCGGGAGGACTCCCACCTGAGGGTCACCTCCTCAGAAAGCCCTCTCTGACCACCGAGCTAAATCAGCACCCTGTCCAGGCACTGGCTACGGCGTCTCCCCACCTTTTCTCCTTCACTGCACTCGCTGAACTCATCTTATTCCCTCAGTGACTTGTGGGCGTCTGTGCCCTCCGTTGGTCACACCAGCACATAAGGTCCTGAAAGCGAGCCTCGTGTCTGTTCAGCCCGTGCGCTCAGTGCCTCGAACAGCGCCTGGGCCCAGAGCAGATGCCCAATAAATGTTTGCTAAGACCAAAAGGAGAAAAGGCACCCTCTGGGGGGTAGCGAGGGAGCACTGCCTCCCTCCGCCTCCAGGACGCACAGGGACCTACTGGGGTAGTTTATTTCCTTGCAGGAGCCAGAGACTGGACCTGGTTAAGACCTCTGAGTTTGCATTTTTCAAAACCGTCATCTTGTTTGCGAGGCCGGGACTTCCATCAAATGTTTTCAAATTTGAGTCATAACGAGCAGCAGCGTGCAACTCCTCTCGGGCAGCTCTGAACGACGGAGTCGGCGATAACCTTCCATCTAACGTCTCCAGCTTTCAATTTGCGAAACGGTGTTTAAAACCGTATGTCGACTTTCAACAGAATGTTGTCTCTTCTGAAACAGAAGGCGGAGATTGGGGGGAAGCGAACGTGCATCTCACGGGGTGTGTTCCATGCACCCAGGCGTGTTCCGGTGTTGATGCAGGAGGGTCGTGTGTGTGCAAAGCTGTGAGTCCAAGAGGCAGGCCTGCTGTTTACCTAACGCGGCGGGAGTGTCTTCCTACGGGGCTCCTTTTCACCACCACAGCAGGGAAATGAACTCTTCTGTCTTTTGGATTTGACACCCTGATGTAAATTTGCTCTTTGTAGTTAATTGTTCTTTAGCGGAACGACCATAATGAGGACCCTCCCCCACCCCGCCCAGAGTATCTGAACGCCCTGAGTGATGGGACTTAATACTCACCGGTACACTTCTGAGTCTGGCGATGGGGCCGTTGATGGAATATCAGAATTTGCTGGGTGGCTGGCTGTGAAATGAACCTTACCGGTGTATCCTGGAATATTGGCAGAGCTGAAGGAAAGAGTTAAAAGGGAGGGGGAGAGAGGGAATGAAAACAGGCATTTGTGAACGAGTCCTTGTCACCAGCACCCACGTAGAAAGGTGCAAAGGAAGGTGCTGGAAATCGGGCCGGCAAACAGGAAACGCTGACTTGGAGATGCCCTGATGGTGGCCCCACTCTAGGACCGCAGAAACTTCTTTCCCGCCCGTGTTTTCCTAGTCTTTGAACTGGCATGTATTTTACAGACGTGATTCGCGGCCGAGCTGTCTCCCGTTGAAGGCAGACATTGGTTCTTTGCAGGACAGCCGACCTGTGCCCCACACGCGACGCTGTCGTGCTGACTCCAGCACTAGCAGACACATGACCGTGATTTGAAAATAATATGTTCGTGTCGCTATTATACTGCATTCCTGATTTCATGTAATTTCGTTTTCTTTAGTTTATTTTGAGAGAGAGGGTGAGTGAGCAGGGGAGGGGCAGAGAGAAAGGGAGAGAGAGAATCCCAAGCAGGCTCTGAGCTGCCAGCGCAGAGCCTGATGTGGGGCTTGAACTCACGAACCCTGACTTCATGACCTGAGCTGAAGTCAGACGCTTAACTGGCTGGGCCACCCAGGTGCCCCTGCACACAAGTGCCTTTAAGTAAATTATTTGCTGAGGGAGAGGTGAGGCTGGAGCGGCTGTGTGGGTTTAGTTCCCCCCTGCTGCTTAAGACCTGTGGCCTTGGCCTCAGGAGCGAGGGACAACAGGGAATTTAAACTGTATTTCAAGGGGGCGCCTGGGTGGCTCAGTTGGTTAAGCATCCAACTTCAGCTCAGGTCATGGTCTCACGGTTCATGAGTTTGAGCCCCGCGTCAGGCTCTGTGCTGTCAGTCTGTACTTAGGCTCAGTCTGTACTGAGTCTGTACTTACATCCTCTGTCTCTCTCTCTGCCCCTCCTCCACTTGTGTTCTCTCTCTCAAAAATAAATAAAACATTTGAAAAATAAATACATAAACTGTATTTCAAGGAGCAAGAACCTACTGTGTGCAAACCTTGGCTCTCACTCAAACAGGACATGATCTCTGTGGACTCGAGTTCCGAGCATCCTTTCAGGGCTTAAAGGGAGGGAGGAAGGTCACCACCGCTGATGTGCCGGGAGCAGGGACAGGGCCAGACAACAGGTTGCCCTTCTGCTCACTCGGCGGTGGCATTTCCCATCCCTGGGCCACTCCTTTGAGAGTGTGACATGACATTGGCGTGGTCCCTCATTCTAGATGGATGCACAGATGCAATGCAATGCCGAGCCTCTGTCCCAGTCAAGGGAGCGGTTCCTCCGGGCGCTTTGCTTGCATCTGGGGCCTTCCCACAAAGCCAATCAACCAAAGGAGATGTCCAGGAACCATTTGCCTGAGGAGAAATTTTCAAAGCACGGGGCTTCAGGGACGTTGTTTCTTACAGTGGCAGGGGAGGGGGCAGATGGCGGAGAGGGGGCGGCGACGCGGGTGTGTGCCCGAGGGTCAGGGCCCAGATTCGAACCCGGGGAATCGGCCCATCAGCTCGCAGGTCTGGACCGGAGACGGGATCTCTCGGAGGCTTACTGCCTCCGCCACGAGAGGGGGTGAGGATGCCAGCTATAGACGTGTTTGGTGGGGACAAGGTAGCGGTTCCCAGTGCAGATGCTGGGAGTACCCCCCCAACCCCTGGACGTGGGTCGTGGTGTGACCCCTTGGTATCCCCCCTCTAACAGAGTGAAGGGAATTTACGTCGATGGCAATAGCAGAAGAAACCATACACGTTACTGGATCCTGGGAGACTAGGTAAATGAGGTGACGGAAAAGCACGGGGACCCAGGCCTCCCTTCCAAGCCTGACATGCCCCTTAACCAACTGTGAGTTTTTCCTCCAGCGAGGGAAGTCCTCTGGGCCTCAGCCCAGTCACCTGCAGCAGGGATAGGACACCATTCACCTCTTTAAGGCTCCTCCGGGATTCAAGGGATTCAATGAATGTGAAAGCAACCAGAGGATCTTCAGTACTTAGGTGGGGCTCAACTCATTTCAGTTGAAATACAAGATTTTAAAGCAATGAGAAATTTCTAAAATAGGAGCCCGGTAGGTGGAGCCTATGAGGTTTATCCAGCAGAGGCCAGCTATATAGATGTTCAGACAGTGGTTTCCAAATGTCCCCACATACTGGAAACTCACGGGGATTTTTCAAAGGTACCCATGCCTGACTCCCAGCCCCCAGACGTTCTGATTTCACTGGTGCGGGGTGGAGGGGGAGGGCGGGAGGTGACTTGGGAATCGGGATCTTCAAAATCTGTCTAGATAATTCTAGATAAGCTGTGCATGGAGGTTTGGAAATCCCTATTTCAGAGTTGCATTTTCAGGTTTGTTGGAGGGACTCGGGTGATCAAATCAGTGTTGCCGAATTCTAGGAAGTGCCCTTTAGGATTTGCTGGAATTTTCTTCAAGGGTAGCTGTATGTCAGGGAGAGGTAGCAAAAACCGAGGCAGAATTATTCATGCGTACGTCTTTCCCCCAAACCTTCTTTAAAGCTTCCATGCATGTTACAGAGGAAATCCCCTTCCTCTGTGTGAGATGTTTTTTTCCACTGCCCCTAAAAACACCTGCAGAATTGAAATGCCTCTAAAGTCATAGCCCTTCCATTAGAGCAGTTAAGAAGTCAAAGATGGAAGGGAACGGTTTTGTCAATCGAAAGAAGAACTTGATGGAAAACATCATACAGCTATACATGCCTTGTGGCGCACGGGTTATTGATGCCAAGTGGTATTAGACATTACATTATAATAATGACATAATGTTACGTTACATCACATCCAATAACAACAAACCATGAGCCAGGAGGCTAAATTAAAGAGAAGCCGCTTAGGCTTAAGAAAAGAATTCAGCTGCTCAATACACTGCCAAATATTTGAAAACGAAAGTCCTCACCCACGCCGCTTCTAAATCTGCTCAAATTGCCCCTTTTCAGGGATGTCACAAGGGGACTTTTTTCCCACCTTGAGTGCCACATGTTGACCTTCTGGCAAGAAGAGAGTCGCCTCCGGGGGACCCGGCCCTGCTGCTGACAGGTGACATGATTTTCTAGGGGCAGGAGACATCTGTTCAAGGTGCTACACTATGCAGGCTTTCGCATGGACTTCTGGGATGGTTCCACGTTCAAAGACCCCCTTCTGCCACTTAGGGAAAGCAGAGAAAAGCAGGAACTCATTTAAAAATAAGAGAAGTAGAGGGGCGCCTGGGGGGCTCAGGTCATGATCTCACAGTTCGTGAATTCGAGCCCCGCGTCGGGCCCTGTGCTGATGGCTCGGAGCCTGGAGCCTGCTTCGGATTCTATGTCTCCCTCTCTCTCTCTGCCCCTCCCGCCTTGTGCTCTGTCTCTCTCTCTCGCTCTTAAAACTAAATAAACATTAAAAAAAAAATCAAAAAAGAATAAAAATAAAAGAAGTCTTCTCCACAACTTCTGATCCTTTAAACACCTTCTTCCGTACCCCGGAATAAGCCTGGATTTTGTCCATTAACAGGCACATGTGAAGAAATTATTGCCTAAGTTTGCAACTAACTGCTTTGGCTCAACCTGGCATGATAAAATACAAATTAAATAATTTTAGACCGTAAGGAATTTAGCGAGCCTCTTAGAAAAGGAAGCACAGATGGTGTGTAATTAAAAGTTAAACAGGAAATAAAGAAAACGCGGGACAGTATGTTGTATGTGGCACACAGGCAGGGTGTATGTGGGTTGGGATTTCAGCGCGCAGACAGCTTCTTCCCCGTCCACAGACAGGACCAAAGCCCTGCGAGCGTGCGCTGTGTCCCAGCCACTGTTTTAAACGCTTGTGCAAATGGACTTCATTCTCGCCAGACCCTGCATTGTGGATCCTAAGGATCATGCCTATCGTATGGATGCTGAAAGTGAGTGAGGTTTTAGAGAAAGTCTAAGTCCTGTGTCGTAGCAGGTGGCAGAACCGGCTGGACCCAGGAGCCCCGGACGGATTGCTGGGAGATGCCCCCGTGCCCTCACACCCAGGGCCCCCAGCCCAGGCAGGAGAGCTCGGCTACCTTCCGCTGCTGGGCATTTATTCAGGGTGTGGGTGCACGTTCAAGTTCAAATCGATCCGACAATCTTGCCGTGAGAGCCGTTCTGTGTCAGGCACACAACCAGGCAGAAATCAACCAGGCCCATTGCTGACGGCTTTCGCATCAATGAGAACACTTTTAATGCACATGTAGAGGCTGGAAAAACCCGAGTGGGGCAAAGACCACCGATGAAAAGTAAGGCGGGGGTGGGGGTGCGTGTGAGAGGGAGACAGAAGGCAGCACAGGGTCAGAGGTCAGAGAGGCTGGCCGTGAACTTCGGGGCCGCCCCTCCCAGCCATGTGACCTTGGACCACTGAACTGAAGCTCTCTGAGCCACACTGTGCTGTGGTCAGGGGACTGTAGCTCCCCTGTAGGGGGCGGGGCACGGTGCAGCGGGAGGGGCAGGGGCTGGGCAGGGTCAAGGCTGGGCCCTCAGGGAGGGCTGAGAGAAGGCGGCTGCAGGACCAGGATCATTTTGGTCACGGGGCCGTGTTTCTCAGAGCGTAATACGTCATGGCCCCAAGATCTGTTCAGCAACTGTAGTTTTATCATTATCCTCGTCAAGTGCCTATACTTGTTCTTTCTCTGGTCTTCAAATCTCTCCAAATGGAAGCAGACACAGAAACAGCCGGAAGGCTTCGTTTGTCCACAGGCTGGAGCCCCGGAACCGCTACTTCCCCGGAGGCAGAGGGCGTGTCCTTGTGGGAAGAAGGGCCCCCCCCCCCAGCTCACCCCGGGGGGTGGGGGGTGAGAAGGATCTGCTCTTGGCCCCTCCCGAGATGACTGACCTGCGGCTTTGTCACATCCTGCACTCAGGCCTCGGCCTCCTCATCTGTGAAATGGGGAGACAACCTGTTGGCACACCTCTGGCCTCCCCACACTAGTTTGAAAATCAAATGAGAGCGTAGACGGGAAAGCCCTCCGAAAAGGCAGAAGTGCCGGCCGGCCAGCGTAAGGAACTACTATTCATAGCCCCATTCTCTAACCTGGATTGTGGTAAGGCTTTGGGGGGTTTTTGTTTGTTAAAGGTGCCACACGCCACGGCAACGGGCAGGAAGGCACCACCCGCCTTCCCCCCCCCCCCCTTCCATGTCAGACCTTGGCCAGCACCTGCCTGGGGATCCATTTTGGACAAGTACTCGTTATTTGCAAAGGCTTCATCGCAGGGATGATTGGGTGAAGGCACAGTAAATGTGAAACCCTGCAAAGTTCTGAAATGAAGGATTACAGCCTAGTGGAAGACAGCCCAGTCGGGGGGCGGTGGGGGGTGCCTGGCTGCTTTAGGAAAACAGGCCCAGGGCGTCCGGAAAGCATCAGGCGTGGGGGCGGAAGGCACGGGTTCACGGCCAGCTCGTCTCCAGTGGGCTCTCCCACCAGGGCATGCGTGTCCCCTCCCCTGCGCCTCAGTTTCCTTGTTGGTAAGACAAGGGGCTGGACCTGGTGAGATGCAGGACAGGGTACCCCAGGAGCTCCAACAGCTGGTCCACTGCAAACCCATTTCCAGCCGCTCTCTCCATTTTCTCAGGAAAGGGCAGGATTTTGGATTTTGGATCCTGACTTCGCACAGATAGGCTGTTCCATAGCACGCCCATAGTTATGTGCTTCGAGTATGTTTTTGTAGGACAGTTTGGTCCTATTTTTTATCATCACTAATTTTTCTGTATATTTTTTTTTTCTGTAATGATCAAATCTGGTTCTACAATAGCTTTTAAGCTTTTTTTTTTTTTTTTTTTTTCGATGAGTACAATCACCAGCAATTTGAAAACCCCGGCCATGTCAGACGGCTTGGTAGCCAGGAAACAAAATCAATTAATGAGGGAAGTTTGACAAACCTTTGCTCTTTTCTGGGAGACGGGTGATGCCAGCAATGGAACCACCTGAACTAGGAGTCGGTGGCCTTGGCTGTCTGAAATGTGGTTTCATATTTCCACCATGACTAAGTATCATGAATTGTGGGGAGAATCCAAAAAATAATATCAGGAAGACATTTTTCTTTAAGAAAGTTTATGATGAGAAAGTAAAGGAAGAGTGATACTTGCTTTTGAATAGGACGGCACTTCCATATCCTCTACTTAGCACAAAGTAAGTTTATGTGTTTCTGGGTTTTGGATTTTATGCAAATGGCATCATATTGAATTGCCTTTTGGCTCAATGCGGTATTGTAACATCAACAAAATGTTTTATGGGGCACCTGGGTGGCTCAGTCGGTTAGGTATCTGACTCTTGATCTTGGCTTAGGTCATGATCTCAGGGTTCGTGAGTTCGAGCCCCGTGTCAGGATCCGTGCTGACAGTGGGATTCTCCATCTCCCTCTTTCTGCCCCTCCCTTGCATGGGGTCTCTCTCTCTCTCCCTCTCTCTCTCAAAATAAATAAATAAAACTTAAAAAAATATATTTTGTTTAGACATCTACATGTATGTAGTAAAACTACAAAACAAAGTAAGGAAAAGCACAAAGACGCGTGGCTTCTGGGTTGGGAAGCGGGATCTGGGTGGTGAGGCTGGGAGGCACCCACACATGGCTTAGAAGACATTAGTAAAGTACTAAAACAGTCAAATGCTATTTCTTTAGCGAGGCAGGAAAACACAGACTTTTATTTGTTATTTCACTTTATATGTTACCTATGACACTACATATTTATGTATCTATTAATATTTCATAATAAAAGTGAAAACCATTTCTTTGTGTTAAAAGGTTAAGAGGACCTTAAACATGGAAACCAGATTCGAAACAAACTTTGCGAGCCTGGTGGCCCTCTAGTGGCCAAATCGGACAAGTGCAACCAACGTCTTCAATTTCTTTTCCGGGAGCCACGAATAATTTCACTTCCTCAGAAACAGAAATCCACAGCAAGCCGAGGTAGACCGGCCCAAAGTTATTCAGGCTAAATAGGATGTTTTACATCAAATTCTTACAATGCTTGCCAAACCCCTTTTCATTCTCTTGGAGGAATGACCCAAGAGAATATGTTTGGATTCTTTGGCCAGCATGTCTCATAAAATGTTGCAAAAGTTAAAGGCACATTTCAAAAGAAAAAAACAAAATAAATCTTTAGACCTGTAGGATATTTTTAAGGTGGTTTCATCTTCATATCCTTTTAAAATCTTTAGAATTACTATGTTTAATAGCAGTAACTCCCTTGCAAAATTTATGGAAGAATCACACCAACTGATCCTTCCTCAAGACTCAGCTCAGATGTCACACGCATCCCGTGTGTCTCACGAGTGAAAGTGACCTCTCTGTGCTACTGAGCTTCGAAAACGCTAAGCTAACTTTTGGGGGGACTTCTTTCATCCTGCTTTTTATCGTAATTATTTGTGTGCAGCGTTTATCTGCCCTTCAGATTCTTAAGCTATGTGAGGGCCAAGTCTTTGTCTTTTGTATCTTTATGTTACCACAGTTCTTACCACAGTGCCTGGAGCATTTTACAGGCTCTCTTGCCTTTTCCTTTGGGTGTGTAATGTAGAGAGTTAAGTGAGATAAGTTACACAACTATATTTAAACGCCAAAGTTAGATTCGAAACATACTTCATAGTTTGCCCGAGTGGTCAAAAACTTTACATAGTCCGAAAAGGTAACAGGGAAATTTAAGACCATTGTGGGAGATGGCATTGCTTAAATTTAACCTGCAACAGAGTAAGTTCGAAGGACAGCTGATGCGAAATGCAACTTGTCTCATGGGCGCAACTGATGTTTAAAAAACAAACAAACAAGGAATCAATTAACATTGAAAATACTGTGGTAGTTCACACTTTGGCTTTGCATCAAATCTGCAAGTGTGTCTGTGTCTCCCGGCAGAAACTGCTGGGATAATATCCATGGCAGTCAGCAACTCAGTGGCTCATGAAAAGAGCACAGGATTTCAACTTCCAGCTGTATCTGGTGAGTCCTAGGGAAGTGACTGACCTCTGAGCCTCCATATTCCCATTGGTGAAAGCAAATATATATGTATCTATATATCTATATATAGATACATATATCTATATATATCTATATATAGATACATATATCTATATATATCTATATATAGATACATATATATCTATATCTAGATATATCTAGATATATATAGATTATACATAAACATATTATATATATAGCTTAAAATAGTACACATTAAATGTAGTTATATATTATATATTAAATATATTTTGTATTTATTTTATATAAGATATATACTATGTACAATATATTATATAATATGATATATGTTTTATATATAAAGTTATATGTCATCTTATATATTTCATATATAATATATTATAAATTATAAGTTATATATTATAACTCTATGTTATATTATATCCTTCTGTATAATATATTGTATATCGTAAACTGTAAGTTATACATTATCACTTTTAAATTATATTATATCATATCAAATTATATTTTTATATATAATATATATTACATGTTATAAGTTATATATTATATAAGTATATTATATAGAAAAATATATTGTATATATTATCTGTATATTATAAAATATAGATGATATAATATACTTATACCATATATAATATTTTATATATTATGAAATATATAAATTTTAAATATACAAAATATTTAAAATATATAAAAATATAAAATTTATATTTATAAAATATATAAATTTTATAATATATGAAATGTCTTTATAGTTTATGTGAATATATTTTTTACATGCATGCAAAACATGGAATATAAGATATATTACATTATTGTGCATCAAGGCACCCCGGTCCGTCAGTGCACAGAATTATGATCTCGTTTGTGGGGAGCTACGTTTCTTTTGGGACAACAGGCGTCTTTCTTCTTAAACGACATTCGATGGCAGGCCATCTTGTATTCCCTCATTTATGATAAAGCCCATCACCGTGTTTCACCCCAAATGGCACTATAAGGGGAGTAATTACAAGTGGAACTCACCGACTTGTGTTTGTATAAAGAATCCTGGAGCCCCGAGGCTTGGCGAGAGATGTGATGTCTCCAAAGGGGTTGTCAACATCATCGGCATTTGTAGACTGCACACAACCCCTGTTTGCGTGACAAGAAAAGAAAACGTGTGTTTCTTCATAAGAAAAACAGAAGAAGAGGTAAACAGTGCCCTAACATTCAAAGGGAATCTTATTTGCTAAAATCGATGAAAAACTGAAACAACAACAACAGCAACAACAATAATAATAACCATGATGATAGAACAATTTGCCTTAAAAAACTAAGAAAAGAGATTTCCTCTTTTACAGAGTAATACCTGCCAGGCTCTCATGATCTGAAGTTTGGGCCAGCATGAGAGGAACAGGTGGGTTGTGTTTTTGTGCAAAGAAAGAAGCTGTTTGTGCAGCCCAGGGAGGCTCCTTCACCGGAGGCTGGCCCGGGGGGCAAGGCAGGGACTGGCATCCGCCAGAACCAACCGGGCTCCTGTTGGGGATGGGAACCTGGGCAGGTGCCCGGGAATCCGGGGCGCCCAGCCATGTGCCTTCAGGGCCCTGAGACCAGGCGGAGGTGCTGTCAGCCAGAGGGCGTAGTGTCCTTGTCCCATTGCTGGGGCCACTAGCTGGAAAGAGTAGTCAGCTCCATCGTAGGGCAGAGGAGGCCACAGTAATGGCGGCAGCAAGGGCAAAGATTAAAGGCCCAGGGCCTCCATTTTCTTGGATTTACTCTGTTCCAAGGCACCATGACCTGAATGTTTATGCTCCTCCCGTATTCCTGTGTTGAAATCCTAATGTCCAAAGGTGACGGGAGCAGGAGGTGTGAGGAGCTCAGGTCACAAGGGCGAAGCCATCGGGAGTGGGATTAGGGGGCCCACACAGCCCTACTACTGTGAGGACACGGTGAGAAGTCTTGTGACTTCTCCATGGAGAGCCACATTTAAACTCAGAAGAAAAAGGAGACACATTTTCCCGTACTTAGTGTTAGGGAGCACGTCGTATCTTCCGCATCGAGTATAAAAGCCTTTCTGGTTGACAACACCCAATATTAGGAGCATCCAGGGTATTTTACTTCATAAAATAACCAATTTGGGGAAACAGAAAAAATGCCGCTCCCCCTTTCTTTCTTTTATCATAATCTTTAACAAATCCGTGATGAAAGTCCTGACATTAAGCAGGCTCTGGGCTGGCAAAACGTTAGAACTCTGTTCGAAAGTATAAATTGTCTTAAACAATAAATTACAGACATGACTGAGCTGAAAGCAATTACAATTTAGATGTAAATCTAGTAATTTTTAAAACATTAAGAAACGGTATCACTTACGTATAAAGAGGGATGTATTTGCTTCTGGAACTTGGACTCACACTGAGAGAAAGAGAAAATGAGCACAATGGAGTTAGTGACGTTCACTTAATAAGCATCCAAGGGTTACAGTATTTCTCTTATTGACACCTCCTGGGATTTAATCTCTTTGGAGATGCCTCCTGGGAATTAACCTCCAAAAGTTTGTAATGTAGGGGCTCCTGGGTGGCTCAGTCAGGTAAGCATCCGACTCGGGATTTTGGCTCAAGTCATGATTCCACAGTTGTGAGTTCAAACCCCATGTTGGGTTCTGTGTTGGCAGTGTGGAGTCTGCTTGGGATTCTCTCTCTCCCTCTCGGCCCCTCCCTAGCTCTCTCTCTCTCTCTCTCTCTCTCTCAAAGTAAATAAATAAACTTAAAATAAATAAAATAAATAAAATAAATAAAATAAAATAAAATAAAATAAAATAAAATAACATAAAAGTTTGCAATGGTAAACAGAGGTGATTTAAAGATGTAGTTTTAAGTGAAAAGCCAAAGCAGAATAAACTGACTCCAAGTGTCATGGACACACATGTCTTTGCTTGCTTTCTCTTTTTTTTTTTTTTTTTTTTAATATTTTTCAATCTTTATTTTTGAGAGAGAGAGACAGCATGTGAGCAGGGGAGGAGCAGATAGAGAGGGAGACACAGAATCCGAAGCAGGCTCCAGGCTCTGAGCCATCAGCACAGAGCCTGACGCAGGGCTTGAACTCACGAGAGATCATGACCTGAGCCAAAGTCGGACACTCAACCGACTGAGCCACCCAGGCGCCCCTTTGCTTGCTCCCTTTAGCCCTATTTCAGAGCCTCCCCTCTTGGGTTACCCCCATCCCCTATTTTTTAAGGAGGCTTCACGCCTAGCACAGAGCCCAACATGGGGCTTCAGCTCATGACCCTGAGATCAATGCCTGAGCTGAGATCAAGAGTCAGACACTTAACCGCTTAACCGACTGAGCCACCCAGGTGCCCCCTAGGTTTCCCTTTTGCTGCACACCTCCTTAGTGATTGGTGGGGCAATATTTGGCAAAGCCCCTGGTTTGCTGAGACACAGAATCTTCACGTTGAGTGGATCCTACTGACCATCCAGTCTAATCCTCCATGGTGGAGATGAAACAGCCATAGCACAGAGTTCAGTGACTTGCACAAGATCCCCGTTATTTACAGCCTCACAAGGAACTCCAGGTCTATTTTGTATTTTCCCCACACCCACCCCAGAATCAGCCATTTCTCCAAGGGTCTCACAATTTCTTTGATCAGAGAATGGTGTTTCAAAGCCAGCATGTGGGTGCTAGATATGATTGTGGCTGCTGGGGTGTCCCTGCTCCGGGGTCCCCTGAGCAGACAGAGCTAGGGATGGGTGGATGTGTAGGAGTCTGTGTATACCCACATATTTATGTCTATTTCTGTATCTGCTATCTGTATTAAAGTAAACGTGAGTTCACAGGATACGTCCTGATCACCTCTTAGCCTTTCTCCCCTACTTACCTGTATTTCCTCCTGACAGCGTGAAACTTGCCTCCTGTTTCCCACCAAAAGTTTCATTTTGTTCAACCCTATATGTCAGAAGTATTAGAATCACCAACCCACTTCCCTGCGGGAACACACCTTGCGGGTACACACGTACCACCTGGAGTATAGCGCTTATATGCATGCATTCCTTTTGTCTTTAGCCTTACATTTTTCGGTCAAAACACTATTTCCAAATTTATTAGGGCCCAGCCTTTTTTAAGATCACCCGGTTTTGCCCCCATCCACTCAAGTGTAGTCATGTCATTTATTTGTAGCACGGATTCATTTGTCACCATCTGCATTCCATCCTGGATTCCCCCAGCACCCTGGGCAGGAATGTATGTAGATACGTATCGGTGTTTCCATGTACGTACTTAGTTCACGTTGCCTTCAGTAAACTTTGTTCTTTGTGGTGGTTAGTTCTCTGGGTTTCACAAACACAAAGAGTCATGTGGCCACCATCACAGAACCATACAGAACAGTTCATGACCCTCATGTTCCCCTTATAGGCTCTCCATGCACATCCCTCTCCCCCTTCCCAACTCCTGGCTGCCATTTTTCTATCCCCTTCTTGTGGTTTTGCCTTTTCTAAATGTCGTATAAATGGAGTCATACAATATGTGACCTTTTGGGTGTGGCTATTTTCACTGAGCAAAATGCATTTAAGATTCACACACACCGGGGCGCCTGGGTGGCTCAGTCGGTTGAGTTCAACTCAGGTCATGATCTGGCGGTCCATGAGTTCGAGCCCGACGTCAGGCTCTGTGCCAACAGCTCGGAGCCTGGAACCTCGTTCAGATTCTGTGTCTCCCTCTCTCTGGCCCTCCCTTGCTTGTGCTCTGTCTCTGTCTTATAACTCTCTCTCTGTTAAGAACAAATAAACATTAAAACATTGGTTGTATACTCATGTATATGTTTATCCACTGTATACTTTTCCACTGGCCTGTTGAAAGATACCTTTGTTGTTTCTAGGTTTTGGCACTATGAGTATAGCCGTAGAAACATTCCCATACAGGTTTTAGTGTGGGATCCTCAGTGCAACCTTTGCATAGACGAAGGTTGCAGGATGAGCAGCATTCTTGAAAGTTTGGAGATGTGGCCTACCGACTCAGACATAAAGCTTTTCATTCATCGGATGGTTTCTTATTTAAAAAATGCAATGATTCGTACAAACCGGAATACAAATTTCTATCATCTGCGTGAGTTATCTGCCATTTCACCACATGATGTAAATAAGATGCTAATAAGGTATTTTTGTTAGCGCTCATGTAATGTAGAACGGGTACCAATGCCTTCCATCTTTATTCTTTTAAAAGATATTTGAATATGATCACAGCGACATCAGCTTGCTTTGTTTTCGAGAGTCTTATATTTTTTGAGTGTCATACTCTTTTTTAAAAAAATGATTGCCGTTCAACATATACGCTGGAATCTATTTTTTATATTGGGATGTTTTACACATTGGCAAAACATATTTTAAACGATCCTTATCAAGAAAATTACACATTATTTTTAGAATACGGCTCGGCAAAATCTAAGTTTGCTGACAAGACAACATTTTTCTCAATATTGTCACTATTTGTAACAGTAGACGCGGCAGCTAAACTCGATTATAATTTGGCACATTTTCACCTCATCTTTTTTTTTTTACTGATATAAAAATTCATTTTTAAAGGACAATTTATTTTTAAATAGTTGTGGTATATTTCATAGTCTAAATTTTAAGGAGGTGTAAGAAAAGGCAGGCAGGCATCGCTGAGCAACTGAGACAGATTTGAGTTCTCTTTCCTGTCCCAAGGATGGAAGTCTGAGGTCTCTGGAATATTCTCCAGAGGATACGCCCCTCAGCCCCTCTCTCACCTGTGGGCTGGAGCACCAGACATATTTTTTTTTAATTTTTTTAAGTATTTATTTTTGAGACAGAGAGAGACAGAGCATGAGCAGAGGAGGGGCAGAGAGAGAGGAAGACACAGAATCTGAAGCAGGCTCCAGGCTCTGAGTTGTCAGCACAGAGCCCGACGTGGGGCTCGAACTCGCAGACCACAAGATCATGACCTGAGCCGAAGTCGGACGCTCAACCGACTGAGCCACCCAGGCGCCCCATTGAGCACCAGATATATTAATGACAAAGATGTTTTAGTGAAAATTTTAGTAACGAGATCATGAGGAGATAAAACTTACAAAGTCACTGGCTTGATGGGTGCCAAGAAAGATCTTGTTTGAAATCTGTCCCAGAGTCCACCAACCATCTAAAATCGGCATCAAAACATAGTTAATGAACAAGTTACTGTAAATTCTCATATATAATCTCCAGCGCTCTTAACAGTCCCCAGGGCATCAATGGTAAGCCCCAGGCTCCCAACAGAACGCACTCCCCAAGCATCCTTAACACTTCGGGGGTTTGCCCCAGAGCCCCTCTGGTCTCTGCTCTGCTCTCAGACCCACAGTTTCCCAGTTTGTTTTTCCACAGCTGGAATCTGCCTCATCATCCAACTCCTTTGGATTGAAGTCTTGACAAAGGTCTCATTTTTTTGTTTTTGACATTTTAATTTATTTTTGAAAGAGAGAGAGATAGTGCATGAGTGGGGAGGGGGCAGAGAGAGAGAGAGACACGGAATCTGAAGCAGGCTCCAGGCTCTGAGCTATCAGCACAGAGCCCGATGGGGGGGCTCGAACCCCCAAACTGTGAGATCGTGACCTGAGCCGAAGTCGGACGTTTAACCAACCGAGCCACCCATGTGCCCCAGAAAAGGTCTCATTTTTGTTTTCATCCCAGAGATTATGTTTCACTTGGATCCACCTAGGTTCACTCTCTGCAGCCCCAGGCTGGTCTCCCCTTTTCAGTCCTGCCCAGACCCTGAGCTTTGAACCTCATCTTGCCAGGGAGAACTTTGGATCCTGGTATGATTAATTAAATGCCAAAGATAGGTTGAAAAAGTGACCAATTTTCAAAAGATGTAAAAATATTTTAAAGTAGGTGAGAGATTCTTAAAAACAGCCGTAAGAATCAAGGCACATGCGAATCCCGTGCCGAGACTTTATATTATTGTAGCCATGTTTTTCCTCTCTCGCTGCCATTTTTCTCTATAAAAGCCAAAAAAGTTTTTCAAAATAATGTGGGCTTCTCACCCTGTGGTTCATGAACCTCTTAAGAGCCCCTGGTTAGAACCGTATGTCAATAGAATAATCTTCCTCTTTAGTGCTATGTTATTTTACATCACAAAGAGCTACATTATGAGAGGTGGCTCCAGTGCTTGTCAGACTTCTGCGGGGCAAGGAACAGAACCAAAGGAAGAGAGGTCAACGGAAGGAGGAGCTAGATGCTTTGCAGGCACAGAGCAGGGACATCTAATCCAGGGTTGGAAAGGTAAAAGTGACGTCCAAGATAACACCTGAAAGATTCACGGGATTTAGCCTGGAAAAAATGGAATACTGAAGGCAATGGAGCCCTGTTTGCAAAACAACATGGCGTGTTGAGGAAGAGCATGGCCCATGAGGCCTCCACTGAGGTTCTGCGTAGAAAGTGATGCAGTAGAGCGCAGTGTGGGGGTGGGGCTGGAGAAGCAAGAGGAACACAATGTCGGGGGCGGGGCGGGGGGGGAAGAGGGGAGGCTGAGTGGGGGCAAATAACAGAACTGGAGACATGGCCTGTCAAGGAGTGTGGCTTTCGCTTCATAAAAGTGATGTGTTGGCTCAGTTGGTTGAGCATCCAAGTCCTTGATCTCGACTGAGGTCATGATCTCACGGTTCGTGAGATCGAGCCCTGTGTCCGGCTCCGCACTGTCGTGGAGCCTGCTTGGGATTCTCTCTCTCTCTCTCTCTCTCTCTCTCTCTCTCTCTCTCTCTCCTCTCTCTCTGCCCCTCCCTCGCTTGTGCCCGTGTGCTCTTTCTCTTTCTCAAAACAAATAAACTTTAGAAAAAAAGTCCAACATAGACAATGTTAAAATATTAAAACATGGAACTCAGTTCCATAAGTGTACATATTTATGCATGCTTTCCATATTTCTTAAAATAGAATGAGTATTAAAGTTTTAGACTTCAGCTTAGAAATAAATGCATGGTGGGGCGCCTGGGTGGCTCAGTCGGTTAAGCGTCCGACTTCAGCTCAGGTCACGATCTTGCGGTCCGTGAGTTCGAGCCCCGGGTCGGGCTCTGGGCTGATGGCTCAGAGCCTGGAGCCTGCTTCTGACTCTGTGTCTCCCTCTCTCTCTGCCCCTCCCCCGTTCATGCTCTGTCTCTCTCTGTCTCAAAAATAAATAAACATTAAAAAAAAATTAAAAAAAAAAAGAAATCAATGCATGGTTGCGAAAATGCAACTTTATATATAGGAAAAGGAATGATGCCTGTGCAATTAAGGTCCCTGATCACTGACCTGGGTTATTGCTGGTACCCCTTCATATCTTTTCCGTGTAAAGCACTGTGAAATCGGGTCAGCAGCTTTTTCCACTGTTGTTTCTTCTGGATCGAGTTTCGGTGGTAGCATCTTATCCCAAGGAACAACTTCATAAGCTCTGTGAAATTAAATAATGATATTTTATGAAAAATGGATATTGCAATTGGTATGAGTCATCGTGGTCTCATGGCAAGCAGGTAATTCTAAGGTGTCCCCCAAGATTCCTGCCCCCCAGGGGTACATGTCATATATAACTACCTCCCGTCTGGCATGGGCAGAGCGGGTAAGTATGCCAAGAGGTCACTCCTGCGATACTTTGTATGGCAACTTTATATGGAAAAGGGATTGTGCCCATGTGATTAAGTCCCCTAACTGGTTGACTTTGAGTGAATCCAAAGGTGGGCTTTCCTAAGTAGGTCTGACCTAAACAGGTGCCCCCTAAAAAGAGACAAGAACACACCAGACACTCTTCAGCTGTCCTTGAAGACACATGTCACGAGCCCAGCAGCTGGAATGAATGGAATTCTGCCAACAATCTCAGTGCTCCTGGGAGACAAGGATCCAGCCCCCGCTGACTCCCCAATTCTAGCCTGAGAAACCCCAAGTCTTGAACCCCACTGGGGCACGCTTACATTCTGACCACAGTCTTGTGGTCTAACGCTGATATATGTGTGGTCATCTGCTACACAGCAGTCGAAAACCAATGCACCTATTTATATACATCTTATAGTTGACAAAAAAGAAAAATCATTTGACCTTCGCAGCAGGGCCGAAAGACCATTAACTGACAAATAAACAAAGGATGGCTTAGAGAATGGAATTTGTTTGCTTAAGGTCGCTCAGCTACTGGTGGTGGACGTCAGGATGCAAATGCAAATTATCCGCCTCTGAAGAGGGAGCCACGTTCCCGTTGTCCCACCACACCAATGGTACAAGGAGTCCAGCCATCTTAGTAAGTGCGAGGATTGTATACGTAGGATTTGGATCTAAAGGTACCATCTTTAGATGGTATTTCAAGTTTTGAAAGTTCTGCTCTTTTTGACAGATATACATGACCGATGCAGTGAAATAGACTCCAAACAAATATTTATTTGGAAATTACTATATTTCAAGCACTGTG